TTACATCAAGTCTTCAAGATATAAATCCGATGCAGAAAGCAACCTCTAGCTCTAAAATGTAATGTATTCATGATGTCGACAGCTAACCAAGAAGCTCGTCCTTTTAAAACAAAACAATGAGGCTAGAGATGCTGTTTTGCAACTTGAGTTGGGGTAACGTCTTGGTAGCAGCGTACGTTTGCATATCAACATCTTGCCCATGTGCTCATTGACATTGAAAACACTGTAGTACAACGAAAAACTTGTAGATGCATAAATAATGTAACATCTGACCTCAACCTGCTGAAGATTGCAGATCTACTTTGTTTGGCTCCACCTGCATAGTTATTGCTAAATATTTGCAATGTCCTGTCTTGCCTCTTCCAAAAGGAGCTTAAAATGAGGGCAATGAAGCCCTAACTGGTGAAAATCCTTGGACACAATGGAGTACCCTCTCGGTTCTTTTGGCAAGCGATGAACGACCGACAAAAATACCACATGGTGAAGTGGGCAGACATCTCCTTGCCAAAGGACCTGGGAGGCTAGGCATTCTTGTTTTCCTGTCGCATGAATATAGCACTCGTGCTTAGGTGGGTTTGGCGGATCATTCGAGGGGAGGGGGGGTCCTTTGGCTACAGCTTATAGAGGCAAAATACTTTCGGGGCTTGCCGTTCCTTGCGTGTTCACGCTCTGAGGGTTCCCAGTTTTGAAAGTCCATCCAGAAGATCAAACATGAGATTCGCCTGGGGCTTTCATTCTTTGTTTTCAATGGCGAGGGAGCGATGTTTTGGCTTGATTCTTGGGTGGGTGGAGCCCCATTATGTACGAGGTTTCCAAACCTGATTGCCATTTGCGTTAACCCGCTGCTATTGGTCTCCGAGGCGGACCAAAATGGTCACTGGAACATCTTGTTTCGTCGCTCTTTTGGGCCAGCGGAGGTGTTGGAATGGGCTAATATGCGGGCGGCCCGACCTCCGGTGCTCGCGGATTATCCGGACACCACTTCTTGCAACCTCTCTCGCTCAGGAGATTTCTCTATCACCACGGCATATCACGCCTTATGTCGTAGGCCTGTTATTGGGTGGATTGGGTCCCTCTGGAAGGCGCCCCTGCCCCTGAAGATCAAAAAATTTGTGTGGCAATTGTCGAGAGATCGCCTCCCATCAGGGACGTAGGTGCTCAAGCGAAATGGCACCCACTAGCTAGGTAGCGGAACTATGACCGTCTGGGGCAGATGTTGAATGTGCTTCATGTCACCACTCAACGCCTCTCCTTGTTGTGGATCCCTACTTGATGTGGCCACTTGGTGGTCTTTTTTCTCATTCTCATGTTTTCTTTGGTTGTGCTTGTGTTGTTTCCCTGGCAGACTCTTTTGTCTTGATTGTCTTGTATTCATGGTGGTTGCTTTATTTATAAGGCGGGACGAAAGTCTATTTATAATGCAGGGTGAGCTCAGCGCAGCCGATGGACACCATGAAGTACTGGAGCATCGTCAGCATGATGCGCTACCTCATCCACAGGCCAAATTTGGTGTTTTGACCCTTTGCCCGAAGTTTACCAAGATTTGACCCTTGTTTCAAAACATTTCGGGATCTGACCTTTTTTTCTACCGCCGTAGTCCTTGGCGGTAGGGTAACACAGCCTACCACCATAATCCTTGGCGGTAGGACTTAACTGTGTCGTCACGGCCATTTAAACGTGTAAAACACCTTACCGCAAGAGCCTTTAACGATAGGCTGTGTAACCCTACCATGATGCTTCTTGGCGGTAGGCCTATTCATTGTTGCAGTCTGCATGCGAGCACTGCTCTCTCTCTCTCTGGCGCCATATTTGGCCTATTTTTGCGTGAGGAATGGCCAAACCATACACATATTCTAATCTAGATCACATACATGCATCTAGTACTGCAAGCCTTTGTCATTTTCCTTTGGACACACACCCACTTAAATAATTGATGTCCATAGGAGCGCTAGCACTGGAAGTAGTATGCAGCGGGGCATTACTGCATGGGCTAGTCTGAAAAGTTATTGTTGCAAGTATCCGGTACATAGGGTGAGCTAGGATATATCCAGTGGCCTAATCAAACAATAAGGGCCTCTTTGATGGCTAGGATTTTGAAAACATAGGATTAGGAAAAGTGTAGGATTGGAATGGCATGTCCATTTGAATCCTATAAAATTAGCAATGATTGTTTGATGCCACGGGAAAAATAAAGAAATTGTAAAAAGAGGTTGAAGTGGATGTTAAATTTCCTATGAAATGTAGTGCAGAAGATTCCATAGGAAAAATTCCTATGAAATCCAATCCTATGAATCAAAGGACCAACATAGGAAAAAATCCTAAAGATTTCAATCCTCCAGAAATCCTATTAAATTTCTTTGAATCAAAGAAGCCCTAAATGAACTCAAATATAATGCATGCATGCGTGCATGTATATCTACTCACAAGCCTACCGCCAAGAACCATAGCGGTAGGGTTATCCAACCTACCGCCAAAGTCCTTGGCGATAGGGTATTTTTCACGTCGAGCAAGCCGTGACGGCACAGTGAAGTATACCACCACTAATTTTGACGGTAGACTATGTAACCCTACCGTCAAGAACTACGGCGGTAGAAAAAGGGTCAGATCCTAAATTTTCTTTTGAATCGGGGTCAAATCCTGCTAAACGTTGGGCAAAAGGTTAGAACACCAAATTCAGCCTCATCCACACCAAGCTGGATCTCATCTTCTCCGTCGGCTACATGTCAAGGTTTATGCAGGAGCCAACAACCGAGCACATGGCGGTAGTGAAGCATATCCTGCGCTACGTCGTGGAACTTTGCACTAGGGAGTGCACTACTCCAATGGCCACCACGGTGAGCCTCTGATAGGCTACAGCGACAGTGATCTAGGAGGCGACGTTGACAGCAGGAGAAGCACCACAGGAGTCATGTTCTTCCTCGGCAACAACTTGGTCAGCTAGCAATCACATAAACGGAGTGGTGGCCCTCTCGTCTTGCGAATCTGAGTACATGTCGGTAACCATGGCGGCGTGCCAAGGAATTTCGCTCACACGGCTACTCGGGGAAATTAAAGATGAAGAACAAAAGGCGGGGGCGCTCCACGTCGATAACAAGTCTACCATATCCCTGAGTAAAAACCCTGTTTTCCATGACCTAAGCAAACACATTGAGGTTTGCTATCATTTTATTCGGGAGTGCGTGGAGAATGGGAAGAACCGAATCAGGTTCATCAGATCGAAGGAGCAGCTCGCCGACATGCTCACCAAGGTGCTTGGGCGTTTCAAACTTCGGGAACAAGAAGTAAAGATCAGGATGATCGAGATCAACAGGGCGCACAAGGTTTAGGGAGTAAATGATGACTTAAACTTGTACTACCCCGTCCCGTTGCCATGGCAGAGCATTTTCATCGGCATGGCAGCCAATTTCCTCTGCCCCGGCAGCTTCTTCTTTGGCTCAATAACCGTTGTTGTTTTTTCAGCTAAGTAGAGTCTAATAAGGATTAAACAAATATATTTTTACTGAGTTGGATGAGAAAAAAAGAAAAGAAGAGGAAGACATGCTGTAGCATGTGCCTCCAAGAAACATTATCAGAGTATAAGGTGAACCATGCATTAATAAAGTAGTACTTCTTACCAACTACTCCCTCCGTTCCAAATTAGTTGTCGCAGGTATGGATGTATCTAGATGTATTTTAGTTCTAGATACATCTATTTCTGCGACGAGTAATTTGAAACGGAGGGAGTAGGTATTAGGGCATGGTTAATAATATAGCCAACAATCGGCTATAAGCAGTTGCCATGTCATCTAGAGCCATCTTAATAGCCCATCTTACAATCACACAAAGTGTCTTGGGACTCGTGCTATAGCCGACTCTTATTCTACAGCCCACTTTCGTTCTCTCTCCTTCAACTAAGCAAATATATAATATTTAAATCTTTATAGCCTGCTTATGTCACAATATTGTCCTTGCTATATGTGATGGCAACTCCATATAGCCGGTAGTTGACTATATGCAACCAAGATATGACCAACAACTTAAAAAAAAAACAAAAAGAAATGACCAACAAACAAACAGTTCACTTATTTCGTCTCCAACATCTGACCAAGATACGCAACCAAACAATTCACTCATTTGATAAGTACATACATACTCCGTTTCATAATATAATAGCGATTTTGACAGTTTGCTATATTATATTATGGGACAGAGATTTTGCTATTATATTATGAGACGGAGGAAGTACATTACAAGTTGTTCCATTGCAGTCCTGATTAGTTTACCAATAGTTAAGGTTAATAATGGCTTGCAGCCTATCACTTGCTCTGGGAGTGTCTTAGGGAATTTGGAAGGAGGCTGCGACATGGCAGGGATGCAGAGCGCTGAACCCGACCAACTGGGACAACAATGCTGACAGTACAACAACTATGGTTCAAGCCATAATTCGTCAGGCAGCCCCAGGCCAGGAGAGAAAAGCCATAAAATCAATAATCATCCTAATCACTTGGGAAATATGGGCAGGAAAGGAACAGCTGCACTTTCAGGGGGGAAATCGCCTGTCCTGCTGAAGTCGCCAGCAAAATTCGAGCAAATTTAGGCTCCGCTTGGATTAGCGTTTGGCCTCTCAATACCCCTGTAAAAACGATACAGACCTCTAGGCGTCGTTTTTTCTCCCGGCGAAACTCACGCTGCGGCCGGTATAATACAAGTGTATACAAAATCCGGATGTAATATCTTACACCGAATCCAAGCGGGCCCTTAGGGTTTTGGCGCTTGGCAGCGACAAAATGTTTCGAGCGCCCCTTCGGTGGTGCCCCTAGGGCTTGTTCTACTTTCTGTTTTTCTTCAGCCATACCATCGCTTGATCAAACCTTGTTCTCCGCTCTCTCCTAATCAATGAATGCCAGCAGCATGCTGGATCTTTCAAAAAAAATAAAATTAAATGGCTTGCAGCAGGGTGTGTGTGACCCGGTCTGGGTCAGCAAGTCCTCAAAGTTCAGTCTTGGGTCATCCCATCCATCTGAAAGCCAAGGACCATGACCAACATGCAGCAAGGCACAGACAGTACATTCCAAGTCTCCATCTAGCTAGCTGTGCACGAACTAACCATGAATTCCTCGCCAGTGATCAATCGCCCCGTGTTGACTGCAAGAGATAACAGCAACGCACAGCTGCATCATGCGTGCGTGGTCCAACTTATATCGACTATATTATGTAACAAACCTCGTCCTGGATCGGGTGACCACACGCAACTAAAGAAACAAGAAGATGCCAAGCGGCGCCAAATTTAAAACGACAGAGTGCTTCGGTTCCAATGTATACCCTAACCTATGCTGACAGCGCAGTTATATAGATTAATTACCAAACAGGGAGGCATCACTCACCGGATATGCTTGCGATCCCGATTCCATTCCGTCCACCATCTCAAGAACACATTATGTAATCAGTTCAGCAACATTGTTACTTGCAAGTCAGGCCCAAGGTCATTGCATTGCATTGCATTTTCTGGTTAGCAGCAGTTAAGGTTACAGCTGAGCTGACCGATCGGAAAAGTTGACCCCGTCTAGCCCAGCAGAGTCTTGAGATCTCTGGCTTGGATCATTATTTCAAAGATGAGAAGCTGGTACGTTGACCGTTGACCGGCCACAAAGATACCGTTGGCATATTCCAGCTGGCCAGCTGTGCAAGAACAAGCAATGCATTCCCTGCCATTGATTGCTCTCTGTTGACTGAAGGAGATAACAGAGCTACTGAAAGAGATGGCCCGTGGCTAAGCAGGCCAGGAAGCTTCTCAGAAGCAGCTGTCGCCGATCTCCGGCCTCACGTTGAAGGGTTGGATATCTTCTCCGCCGGAAATTCTGAATGACATCTACGATGGACGTCGACTGAATTTGCCGGTTGGAGAACGACCTTCAAGCTCTGGGACCAACTTCTTGTTTGTTTCTGCATCACGTTCACAGAAATATTGACCCCCGGGCTGAGAGAGCAAGGGAAAGCAGCCATTTGTTTGCTCCTCCTTGCTCCTATCTGCCTTGTCGCCTTGGCTACCAACAACAACAACAAACTCAAAGGGTAAGGGTATGCACTTTTTCACTTTTGTTTCCTCTTCTCTTGGGAGATTGCTTGCCGCTTTCTCTCGTGGTAGCTAGATAACATATGCACTTTTTCACTTCTCTCCTCTGCACTCTGAGAGGTTGCTAGCTGGTTCTTCTCTGGTGGTAGCTAACATTTGGTGGTTCCACATGGCCGTAGTCAGCAGAGCCCGGGCTTCTCTCCCTTCGCCGTCATCGTCGCCGTTGCCGGCCTTCTCCCCTCGGTCGCCGCAGCCCGAGGTGGCGGAGAGGATGTTCACGCGTGGAGGGAGCGGCCGGTCGTCGTCGTCCAGTGCCTGCGGGGCTAACAGGAGCGCCAGCCTCAGAGAGATCGACGAAGAGGCCGCCATCTTGCATGATGCTGATGATGATGACGGTGGAGGGAAGCTGTATGTCGCCGTCGGGAAGGACATCAAGGACAGCAGGTCCAACCTCATCTGGGCAGCTCGGAACCTCCTCGCCGGTGATCCCAAGCTTGTCCTGCTGCACGTCCACCAGCCTGCCGACAGAATCATGATAGGTAAAAGGGTCCGGCTTAGCTTCAGTATGACTTTTTTCATCTCATCTGCATCAACTTGACCATGGAGAAGAAAGGATTGTGGCTAGTAGTCTGATTTTCTTGTTATTTCTGTCAGCACTTCAGTCGTTTCAGAAGTAGTTTGCGTATCTATGGGGAAAAAACAAACCTTGATCTTACTGGATTTGATCCCCATCTCCATTTTCCTTTTCCATCCCCTGTTTCGCAAGAGAATATGCTGAAACGATACAAATGAAATTAGCAGCAAGCAGAAGTAGTCCTCTTTTGTTCGATGTTGCTGTCAGACAGTTTCAGAAAGCACTCCCCTGTTTTCAGTAGGCATTGCAAATACTTGTTCAGTAATCTATGCTGATTCAACTCTAATGTTGCCGGCGCAGGATTATGCAAGGTTCCAGCAAGCCAGGTCGAAGAAAAGGAGCTCAAAGCATACAGAAAGATTGAGAAGGAGGAGATGAACACACTTTTAAACCAGTACCTCAATTTCTGCAGAGTTTCTCTCAAGGTCAGTTAAACTAATTCAGGAAAGGCTACATGGATTCTGAAATCATATTCACTTGCGATTTCTTGTTATATGTCATCTGTATGAAATAAAAAGTAGCAAATTTACAGATGCAAGCTGAAACGCTGGTGATCGAGAAGAACAGTCCTGCAAATGGGATTGTTGAGCTCATTGATCAGAATCGCATTACAAAGCTTGTTATGGGAACATCTTCCTTCTCAGTGTATGTGCAGATGCATATTCCAACTTTGTAATGAGGTTTCATGAAAAAATACATTGCAATTATTTCCAACTGCACTATTTTCGTAGAGCAAAGCACCATGAGTAATGTAATTAGATGCTCGACTGCTATATATATGTAAATTTCATATTTCTTTTTTATGGGTCTGCTGTTCTAACAAGTGGCAATAAGGAAGGCAGCAGAACCATTTAGTCAATACTTCGCTTAAAACTCCCAGTAACAAATAACTACGGCTTTACTAATTATCATCTCTCCCTCCGTCTAAAGTCTAAACTAGAAATAATCCAAGTTGTTTATGTTGATTACGAATCTTTCATGAACAGGAAGAGGAAAGTACCAAAATCAAAAGTTGCAGCCGGTGTGCATGCACAGGCCAAACCATACTGCCAGATCTTCTATATTTGCAAAGAGACTCTTGCTTGCTCTAGGTACGAGTGTCATGCATCCCTAAGTCAACATAAAGCAAATACTACACAGAATTTGCAAATTTCAGCTCGAGCAACTACTCAAAATTATATCTAGCCTGACAAACAAAATGGTGCCATGTTTCTTATCAATTTTCAGGGAGGCCACTCAGCTTTGTGCAAAAGTAGAGTCACCCCGAAGTAGCTGCGCAAGCACTATCTCAGATCAACCTGAGTTAACTCCAAGATCCCTATCACTGCCACCAGGACATCCAGGTCTTTTAGGCTCTACAGGCCAACAACCCCTTCCACGACGGTCCAACTCAGTCAGTTATCCCTTGTCTGGAATGATAGCAGACAGTGTAGAAAACATGTCACCTGCAAGGCGGCAGTCAATTGATAGTCTCTTAGGCTCTACAGAACAAAAGGCCCTGCCACGACGGTCCAACTCAGTTAGTTATTCCTTGTCTGGATCGATAGCGGGCAGTGTAGAAATCATGTCACCTGCAAGGCGGCAGTCGATTGATATGACACCAACAGGTTCCTCTCCGAGTTCCAGCCAGCAAAGCACTGGTGGGTCCTCATTGGGTCTGAGGGATTTGGACAGTATGGATGGCTCACCAGTGCCTGTTTCAGTTGCAAGCTCTGAAGAAGAACATCAGCACTCTACGGTAAGCTATATTGGACTGAGCTGAGTTCTCTAACCATAGCCACACCTTTTTTTTTTGAATTACAATAATTTTACGGCTGTGTGTACCCTATGGGTGCAGAGGCCCGGAGAACTATCCCTCCATTATTTAAACAAACAAACTTATTAGACATAAACCAAGTACTATGTAATGTTAGAACTACGTTTAAAGAGGCTTTGGTCCTAGCACAAGTGTAGAGGGAAATGGTTGACAATAGAATGTCTTCATGGCTGTAGTAACTCTCAACCAGTAGTGTCTCTACTGTTTGCCACTGGCACTATGGAAAAAATCCACGTTGTTAAATAAAATCTTACTTCTATTGCTCTATCATCTAAATTTTGGTTGATCAACCAAGGTCTCAGTTGTAATACTTATTAGATAACGTTGTCATGCTTATTGAATTCAAAGCAAACATAATGTTTTACAGGTGGAAATACGTGAAATGTTTGAGCAACTGCACCGAGTCCGCAATCAGCTAGAGCGCTCGAAAAAGGAAGCGTCTGAGGGCCGGCAGAAAGCCGAGAAGAACTTGTTTGAATCTTCTATGATGGTATGTTATTTGTTATTGACAGATACCTTTAGTTACCCACTATTGTTGTTTAATCTACTGTATTTTCCCAACCTTTCTTCTCTGAATACATGGAATTTATATTACATGTATCTCTTAAGTAAGTGAACTGTTTTCCTGTAGTTCAAAGCACGGGAGAGTTCACTCTGCAAAGAAAAAAAGGAGGTAGAGGAAAGGCTAACAAGAGAAAAGGCTGACCTTGAAAAAGAGCACTTCCATGTATGCAACGAGCTGCAGAAGGTAAATGAGCAAAGAGCAGAATTGGAGAGCAAGCTTCTCCAGACAAATGCCCTAATGGAAGAGCTCCAACAGTTGCAAGCAGAGCTGCAGCGTGAGAAAGACCATGCTGTTAAAGAAGCTGAAGAAATGCGCCAAACAAATGGTAACAGTGTATTTGGCTCTACTAGTGCTGTTGCCCTAACAGAATTCAGCTACACAGAGATAGAAGAGGCAACGGACAACTTTGATGACTCCAAAAAGATTGGCAGTGGTGGGTGTGGAACCGTCTACAAGGGATTTCTCCGTCATACTACCGTAGCCATAAAGAAATTCAACCGTGAAGGCACAACAGGAGATAAAGAGTTCAATGACGAGGTAATTTTCATCATTAAGAGTAAAACGTGCTGTCAGATGAGAATAAGTAAAACAGGTAAAACGGTGCATCTAAATATGTGATTTTCCAATATATTACAGGTAGAAACACTTTCTAGGATGAGGCATCCAAACCTTGTCACTCTGATAGGAGTGTGCAGGGAGGCCAAAGCGTTGGTCTTCGAATTCCTGTCGAACGGAAGCCTAGAGGACTGCCTGCAGTGCGAGCACCAAAGAGAGCCACTCTCATGGCGAATGCGCATCAAAATCGCTGCCGACATCTGCACGGGACTTATCTTCCTCCACTCTAACAAACCAAAAGGCATTGCCCATGGCGATCTGAAGCCTGACAATGTCCTTCTTGACACTAGCTTTGTTTGCAAACTGGCAGACTTTGGAATCTCTCGTCCCTTGGATCTGACAAACACCACCGTCACCCCTTACCACCGAACAAACCAAATTAAAGGCACAATGGGATACATGGATCCAGGATACATCGCCTCAGGGGAGATCACAGCTCAGTATGATGTCTACTCCTTTGGTGTAGTTCTGATGCGGTTGCTGACTGGCAAGAACCCCCTAGGCCTTCCGAATGAGGTGGAGGCAGCCTTGAGCAATGACATGTTGCAAGATATAATTGATACTTCTGGAGGGGAATGGCCACCTGAGTACACTGAAGAGTTGGCAAGACTAGCACTGAGATGTTGCCGGTATGAACGGAAGGAGCGGCCTAATCTTGCAAATGAAGCCTGGGGTATCCTGCAAGCTATGATGAACTGTCCAGATGATAAATGCAAGCCACCAACGTTTTTCATCTGTCCAATGACACAGGTCAGTTAACAGCTTTCTTATGTTTACAATTCAGTCGTTACAGTAGTTAATATCAACTCTGATATAATGATGGTTTATTTGCTTTGAAGTAAGGTGGTCAGCATCGTCACCTTTAGTTTGATAATCTTGCATCTTTGTAACATTTTCAGGAGATCATGAGGGATCCACACATTGCTGCCGATGGATTCACATATGAAGGTGAGGCCATCAAGGACTGGCTTCAAAGGGGGCATAAAATGTCCCCCATGACCTACCTCAGCTTCACACACCATGAGTTAATGCCGAACAATGCCCTTCGTTTTGCAATTCAAGAATGGCAAATGCAACAGCAACCGTGATTTTTAACCTTCCATTTGATCTGCGCAGTCGTGTTAGGAAGTGAAGCAAATGGTTTGCAAGTTTGTATAGTCTGTAGAGAATTCATTTTCCCCCACTTTAGCAGTTAGCGCTTTCTCAATGTTTGGGCCCACAAACGAGAAGTGATGTACATGTTTTCGGTCACATGTTCTTGGGATGAACTGACATGGCATGTAACTCTCCAAGAGAGAGTGGGTATTCAGGTACATTGAAAAGTGATGGTGTATGGACATTTTAATTCCCTCTCAGTTATGCAAAGTTGAGAGTTAGAGTCAAATCAGCGTGGTCCCCAAAAAAACTACAGTAAATGAGCAATCAGATAGATCAGAGCACAGACGGTTTATAATAATGTGATTACTCATGAATTAGCTATGCACGTTCGATTCTTACTGCAGATACAGGCATGCCATTTTTCAGGAGATAATGAGCACACTATTATCTGTACTACGTCTGCCAGGTCAGCGGAAACTGCGTAGGCAAAATCATTTAGCTGCTCTGACTGACCTACAATTTAGCCCCAATCCACTACCGCTAACTTCAAAGTAAAGGTGTATCGCTTTCACATTCCCAAACAAACGGCTTACAAGACAGGATTAGGCAGTTGCATGCCAAACAACCAATTAAGGGCCTACTCCTCCAAGATACCTATCTATCTTCCTTGAGTTGAGCGAGAACATGGGCTGGGCATTTGAACAAACAGGTGGTGCGCAACCAGAAGCTGACCACGAAAGCAGAGGAGAGGAGCAGAGAAGAAGGCTTACAGAGGAGGGAGGTGAAGTGAAGCAGAGAGGACTTGTACTAGTCACTAGTCAGTCAGTCATCCATGAGAAAGGCAAGCACAGCACAGCTAGCTCCTGCCATGCCATGGAAATTGCAGTGGCACTGTTGGGCAATTCCTTGCTCTGCGCAAATAAATCACCATCAGTCACGTCAATACAAAACTAGAAAACAGATTAAACAAGGAGCAACCAATACAATACAAAACTACTCCTACAAAACAAGGAGCAACAAGTCAAGCCGGCCTGGCCTGGCAGCAGGTGTGTGTACTGGCCTAGTACATACACTATGCACAATTAGCATGGAATGAGTCGGAGAAAGATGAGAGAATTACTATAGTATAGAATGGTGTGGATGTAAGAAGCAAGTATAAAAATGCAGAGGAGCTAGCCAAGCGCAGGGGACAAGTCCAAAGCTGGCCTGGCTGAGAAAGCCAAGAGAGAAACGAGAGACCAGCTACCTATCTATCTGCCATGGACGCGGCCTGCGACTCGCCGGAGCCGGAGCAGTCCTCCTCCGAGTCTGGCGAGAAGATGAAGAAGGTGTACGTGGCGGTGGGGGCCGGGTCCGACTCCAAGGCGATGGTGCTGTGGGCGCTGCACAAGTTCCCCAGAGACCCCACCGCCACCTCCTTGGTGCTGCTCCATGTCTACCCCCAACCCAAGCTCATCCCCATCAGTACGAGCATCTCCCCTGCCCCTGGAGTCTCTTTTCCTTTCCCCCCTTTTTACTGGAATCACAACTACTGTCTCTACCGTCAAAAAAATATGTCCCCTTTGTGCAACAAAATCATTAAATCAACCTGGTGATTTTTGGTCCCTCCGTTTCTTTCTGTAAATCATACTGATAACTCACTGCGGTAAATATTTGGCTAGCATTTTTTCAATTGTCATCATGCAATTTATGGGGCGTAAAAATCAGTGTCATTCAGCTTGGTATCACAAAAATATCTACTTATGATTGTGACTTTGTATAACACAAGCTAGGCACATATTGATATAGTGATGATCAATCAAAGTCTTCTCTTGACAAATCAAAATACGCTCTATATTAACTTCGCAACGGAGAGTAGTAAACTATGGATGCAAAGATTTATGTGTCCGATGCTGTTCACAGTGGGTGCCAGGATCCCTGCTAGCCAGGTGCAGGAGCAGGAGCTGACTGCGTACAAGAAGATGGAGCTACAAACAATCAGCAACACTCTGGATCAACACCTGCTATTATGTGCACAGGAAAAGGTTCAGACATGCCATTGCCAGCTCCAAGAATGCCAAGAAAACTAGTCTATGCAATCAGCTTCAAACACGTCGACATTGACACATGTATCTGCTGCGCAGGTACAAGCTGAGAAGCTGGTGGTGGAATCAGAGGATGTAGCAGAGGGACTGGTGCAGCTCATCACTGCGCATCATATCACTGCTCTTGTCATGGGGGCAGCAGCTGATAAGCATTACTCAAAGTATGTATGTGGGCAAACTTCTGACTAATCCTTTCAGAACATGTATGGATGATCACCATCTATAATTAATTAAACACTTCGCGATTGTTCGCGAATGCCATGTTGCCACACACACAAAAAAAACTGATTCCTTGTTCAAGAGTTCAGGGAAATGAGAGCTCTCAAGTCCAAGAAAGCGCGGGCTGTGGAACAGCGGGCAGAGCCTTCCTGCAAAATATGGTACATTTGCAAAGGAACGCTCGTTTACCGTAGGTATGGTTCGGTTGGTCGACTGCGGATAATCTTCACTTTTGTTCATATGATTGATTACATTGTAGCTGAACTCCAGCCTGCATTTGACATGTTTCCCTCCCTCTCTGCTTTCTCTACAATAGGAATGCCGTGCCCCTTGGCCATGAAGCAATGCCGGAAGGTTCGCAAGAGTCTGCTGCTCAACAGTTTTCAGTGGATAGGTCGACTAGCTTGTCGGAGACGTGGTGTGTTTCAAGCACATGGCTACACAAACCACATGCCAGGCTGCAGATGGAAAGGACAAGTCCACGTGGATCAGACGATAATGGAAAGGTAAACACAATCCATGACAATAATAGATGAACAGTACATCATGCTATTTTATCTAGCAGGCCACCAGTTTGTACTTGAAATCTAATTTTACTCCAACTTCTAGAACTCACATTGTGTCTTAACAGCAGTAGGTTGAAGATGGTTAAACATTCAAGAATATCTTGACTGAAGTTTTTACCTTATCTAAACCAGGAAATTGTCAAAGAATTTGACGAGGCTGACATAAAATTCCAGCATATGCTCAGGGAGTTGGAGAGTGTAAGAAAGCAAGCTTATGAAGAAAAACACGGTCGTGAGAAAGCAGAACAGGATTTATTTGAGGCTTTCCAAAGAGTAAGAGTATCTTAATTTGCATTTTTCAGTAATATCGAGTATGCTGATGGAAGGATAGGCATGGCACAGTAGGGTTCGATGCGGCCTCTCTGCATTGCACTGTGCAGGGGGTAAGGCTTGCCTCGTACAATCCTTTCCCAGACCCCACCTGGTGTGGGAGCTTCTAGCACTCGGTCTGTCCTTATCGAGTATACTGATGTTGATAATTGTTTCAATTTTATGGATATATGCCAGTGAGAGCATTATTTGGAAGAAGCTCTCGCTACTGTGCTTGTGAAGCACTTTCAGAAACTTTACCATCAATAATAAATTTGTAAACAATTTGGAGCAATGGTTCTGATAGCTGCCAGCTAATTTTTCTAACTAATACTTTCTCACATTTAGCTTGTCTAACAGGCACGAGTCTCCGAGAATATGTACTTAGGAGAAGTGAAGCAAAAGAATGAAATCGAGGAAAAGTTGGCAACAGTAATGGAGGAAGTTGAGAGTCTCACAGAAACAACTGATGGACTTTGTGCAAAGCTTCAAGAGGAACGCAAGAAAAGATCGGCCCTGGAGAAAAGAACTGCCCATTCTGACCGTATCATCAAGGATTTGCTGTTGCAGCGCGACAAGGCTGTAAGAGAGGTAGAAGCACTACATGCAAAGAAAGGAGAGTCCAGTGCAACCGCGGAGGGGACGATGCACATCACGGAGTTGTCCAGCTCAGAGATTAAGGATGCAACCAACAACTTTGATCACTCACTGAAGATTGGAGAAAGTGTTTATGGAAGCGTGTACAAGGGATTTCTTCGGCACACAAATGTAGCCATAAAGAAGTTGAATCTCGAAAGCACACAGCCACAGTCACAGTCACAGTCACAGTTCAATCAAGAGGTTGAATTCTTGCTTTAAGTTAATTATTTGCTTTCTTTCATCTCAACTAAACTGGTATTTTGCTGGTTCAAATAAAGTACTGTGTTGCAGACAGTTAAGTTGTTCATGATGCCTCCTTTGCAGATAGAGATACTCAGTAGGGTGCGACATCCAAACCTGGTCACTCTTATTGGAGCTTGCAAGGATGCTCAAGCTCTTGTCTACGAATACATGCCGAATGGAAGCTTGGATGACCGTCTGGCTTGCAAGGACAATTCTAAACCTCTTAGTTGGCAGCTGCGCACCCGCATCATTTCCCATGTTTGCTCGGCACTCATCTTCCTCCATTCGAATAAACCCCATAGCATTGTCCACAGTGACCTGAAAGCATCGAACATTCTTCTAGACGGAAATAATGTAGCAAAGCTCAGTGGTTTTGGCGTGTGCCGAATGGTCACTGATGAGTTCAGGGACACAACCACCCTATATAGGCATACCCACCCAAAGGGATCTTTTGTGTACATTGATCCTGAATATGTTATGACTGGTGATCTAACACCACTATCTGACGTATACTCTTTCGGAATCGTGCTCCTGCGCCTCTTGACTGGAAGACCAGGATTCGGGCTGTTGAGAGATGTGCAACGGGCTGTGGAAAAGGGTTGCTTGGGAGCAATACTGGATTCATCTGCTGGGGGCTGGCCAGCTATGCAGGCTGAGCAATTGGCTCGGGTGGGTCTGAAATGTTGCGAGATCAGAAGAAAAAATCGTCCAGACCTGCAAAACGAGGTTTGGACTGTACTTGAACCAATGTTGAAGCCTGCTTCCATTATGTTGTGTTCCTTGTCATTCAAATCAGTATCAGAAGACCTTGGTGGTGTGCCGCCCTACTTCATCTGTCCAATACTACAGGTGAGTCATACATTTTGCTTGGTGAATATCATTTTCTTCTGCTGTCTATTTTAATATTTTAAAGCATGGAGGGATATCTTTAAAATATTCTAAGCATGTTTGATTAGCCTTAAATGCCCTCTGAATTGTTCTTTCCAGTTATCATTCTTAGTAATCTTAGACAAGTCGATTTCTTGCATAGAAAGCATTTGTCGTTTCAGGTTGTTTCACCTTCACATTTCTACGGTGCAGGATGTCATGAGGGAGCCTCTAATTGCTGCAGATGGCTTTACCTACGAAGCCGAAGCTATAAGGGAGTGGATTGACAGTGGCCACCATACATCACCCATGACAAATCTTGAGCTACTCCACCGTGATCTTTTGCCGAACCATGCCCTCCGTTCTGCAATCCAAGAATGGCTGCAGACAGATGCATAATAAATGTTATTTTTATCATCATGGAACTTACAAATGAACTAATACTATGTCCTTAACTTCTTTACGCACAATAATAGGTGCATACCTTACGCATAAGTAAAGATATACACATCATTTTTGTTTTGCTTTTCAGCAAAAATTTGTATCTAAAATGTAAGACTTGGAGCTCCATCAGCGGCATGCCAGTATTTGTACATGGATCTGTACAGTCAAAACTGTCTTCGTGATAATATTGCTGTTACATGCTACATGGATACTGCACTATGTTTTTTTTCACTGCTTGATCAACAATCGGTGTGTTGTGGTACTAGCATCTGAATGCTGGTCGAGCATGGAAAGTACGGAAGCATACAGTTCAAATGTCGCTAATTACAACTATTCATTTTACGTTGTCATCTTATATGTGTTTATATGTCCATAAGTCTAATTCCCATCCAACCTGTTTATTCTGAATGTCTAGAACAATCAACAATAACTGCTCAGAAGGTAAATGATGTAGCAATCAGATAATAATAACTTCATCAGTACGCCTGCTTCTGTTGTTGTCTTGTTAATACCAAAAATACATTGAGATGGAGAAAACCATCCTTGAAAGATGTGTGGTGTGCGCAAATTTGCCAAAGTTTCTTACCTATGCAGATCACTCAGCAAGTTATTCTCAACAAGATGTGTTGTGTGCACAAAGTTGCCAAAGTTTCTTACCTATGCAGATAGCTCAGCAAATTCGTCTCGACAAGCACTTCCCTCCAAATGAGTCAAATGGAGCCTCCAATGCATGCAAGCTGCAACCCCAATCTTCGCATATTCTAGTTATCATGCTGGTATATGCTGTTGACAGCTTGACAGGAGATGTCTTGATGTGCATATTAACATATTAACAGCTTGACAGGAAGAATTATGTGAGATGCATTAACATATTGACAGCTTGACAGCAAGAATTATGTGAGAGTACCTCCTGGGAATGAACAATGCTACCAAGTGCCAAGTATCTAATTATACATGATCTATTCTGGACAAATTTTTCGCATCGTGAAAGTAGCCGTCTATTTGGAACTGCCGGCCAAGTGAGATGGGATGGCCTGTAATGATCGTCACCTAACGGGACAACTTCATTGCTAAGCATCAAAAGTCAGTCAGGGAGGACATTCATGTTTAGAAGCGACTTGGAAGTAGTAGAAACTTCGCGGAAATGCCAGGGTTCCTATCAGGATTACGTGTTTTGTTGATAACTCACAGTTATACTTGCTAAAAAATGAGCGGAAGCTGATGCAGTTATCATTTCTTATAGAAAAATCCCTGACTAGAGAAGATAATAAGACGATTAATTAAGTTCTAAATAATCAATGACAAAATATAGAATGTATTGGTATTATCTCCACGCCAGCAAACATTCATGCAACATGTCTTATTTGCTTTTTAACCAACCAGTTGGTCTTTCCACGCCTTTTGAAGTACGCAGGACTCAATTTTCTGCCACCAAAATACAATAAAGTTATTATCAGTCTGGTTTTCCTTTTTTATAAACTGGAATGGCTACTACAAGGGGGTTAACCGATGTTTCCTAAATGGAACAGGATTTTTTTTTAATTGGGCAACACTTGGGACCCGAAGTCAGACATTGACTTGATGATGCACTCACTGCTGCTAGATACAATCAGACAATAACCAAATCCAAGGCCACTCTTTAAAACCATCACCAGTCTACTCTCCCATTTGGGCCTTCTAAAACTGACACTACCTGGGAAAGACCAAGGCAGAACAAGGACTAGGATGACAATCATATCGACGCCACAGAGCTGAAGAAAAGTGGTCCAGCACATTTAGGTACTTCCCCAAAACTTTTAGAGCATTTTCAGAGATCTTCACCTTTTGTAGTCTTAGGTTGTGTGTCTTCAGCTCTGCTGAGCCAGATAGCAAAACCAGAATATAGATATGATACCAATTCTTGATTTCTCAGGGTCTGTGTAGGGAGTAAGAAAGATGGATGAAGAAGAGGTTCATATCGCGATCGGGAAGAACTTCAGAAAGGAGAAAGCTAACATACTATGGGCTGCTGCAAATTTCCCAAGGGCTACCATAGTTCTTGTCCACGTTCATTGGCCATCCAAGTGGATGCCCTTCAGTAAGTTTTTTCAGCCAAATATTTTCCATGCTTTGTAAAGCTCTAATGGTTAGATGCCCTTCAGTAAGTTCTTTTCAGTATTAACAGGATAAAGTATAACCTTGTGTTTTATTAGCTGTATAAATAATTGTTTGTTTCTAACCAACAACTGCAGTGGGTGGAAAGCTGCTATACAAGTTTGCAGACGAAAAGGAGAAGGAGATGCATAGAGGTAGAGAAACGGAAGCAATGGTCAAGATGCTATCACAATATAAAAGCCTATGTGATGATACAAGAGAGGTATCCTACGATTTAGATTCAGATTAAAATAAATAAGGTCAGAGCGGTGCTTATTAGAGTTCATCCAAAAAGCACTCTAGTCATGTGATATTTGTTCGCAATCATGATGAATTAAGTGTAAAAACACTATAATTTAAATAATTATTTATCTGATGATGAAAGTTAAGCAAACAAACCATGTGGAGAGGGATCAAATCAATACAACACTAACATAATTATTTCACAGAAATATGTTTCCTAAATGGGCCTGTGTCCTTGCAGGTTAGGGCACATTACCTTACACATGATGACATTCTTACTGGTGTTGTAAACCTGGTAAAGAAGCTCAAAATCAAGAGAATTGTCATCGGGTCAAGGTGAGATCATAGCATGAACTAATACGCATAAGGAAGCAATTGCCTCTTTGTATATGTTATTGAATGTAACCTGTACAAATGGACATTGCCTTAGCCCATAAAACAGCATAACAGTATAGTAAGTTATGCAGGAACATGTCAAAGAAAGCGGTTCTTCGTAAATGCTCTCAGGTTTGGGTGGTGATTAATGGCAAATATCTGTCCACTAGGTATAGTTTCTCCAAAGACCATAACTGCACTCCCGGTAATCTATGAATCATATCTAGAAATTACTTGATGGATGAGATCGTTCTTAAGTGCAGCAATGATCATCTGGAGCATACTGGAGGCACTGGATATGGAGGGAGCTCTGAGTTTTTGCCATCTATGCATGAGCTGAGCGACGAATCTGATGGCTATGCAACACCATCAAGTGATTTTGTGAGCAGACTTCTTAGCAAAGCATTACACACATGCAAACAATAACAGTTTTAGTTCACAAGTTTAAGACCATGGTTCAGAGTTTTGATACATGCCTGTGGTGTATTCCAGTATGTATCATTTCAGGAAGACGATGTCATGGACGAGGATGGGGTGATTCCAATGGATGGTGATGAACAATTGGAAAAGGTATAACTTGCCTTTTTTTTTTCAAGACAACTACCACAACATGTGCATTAAAATGTCTGCTTACTCTTTAAGTTTGACGACACACACAGAAACAAAATTACATCTGATTGAGTTTACTCCATGCTCAAGCATGTTTGACAATTTTAGATTTACCACCGTTGGCTCAGATGCATGTTGATTAACTATGTGTCAAAAAATAGGTGTTACTTATGACTTCTAAAAGTGCAGCTTGTGTTGATAAAATAAACTGATTGCTCCATTCCAGTATGATGTGCAGGAAGCTGAACAAGACATTGAGGAAATAAATGCTTCTGAGGAAGTGGGCAAAATTTCTGGTGATGGCATACGGAGTTCCAGAAATATGAGTGAAGAGTCTGAAAAATTGATGGTAAATGTCACACGATACTACCTTTGTCAATGCCTATTTCGTTTAAAACATGGCTAGATGAAGGTTCCAACTTATGATGATGATAATTTACTCAAAATAGAAATAATAGTAACAAAGATAGGTTGGAGACATCACCAGTCAGGAAGAGAAAAATAGATGACAGAAATCATATGGAACACGGTGTATGTCACAGAACATCGGTACAGCGTTGAATCCCTTAACTACTTCAATACACCCCGTTTGGTTTTGTTCAGGAGGAAATGGAAAAACTACAAAGGAGATTGAAAGAGCTGCAAGACGAGGGGCATAATCATGAAGAAAGCATCTTGTCGCCAAGAAGAAAGAATGTATTGTTGATGGAGAAAACGTTACCAAAACAAAGATACCCAGAGCTGCAAATCCCAGAACATATTGTGCAGTACTCCATGTCGCGTATTGGGAAAGCGACCAATAACTTCTACTCAAGAAACCTCATAGGGGAAGGAGGCTATGGCCTAGTGTACAAAGGAAAACTAGGTGGCGTGCCAGTGGCTATCAAGCTGTTGAGACCCCATGGTAAACCCCATGGTAGACAAGGTTTTCCAGAGTATCAGCAGGAGGTAATATAATGAACTCTATCCAGTCATCCTTTTAACTGTCTGAGCATGCACACAACATAGCCTAACAATAATTACAAGAGGAAACAAACACTCATTTCATACAGAGTAAGATGCAAGTATTTCCATCTGAACTGTACCATAATTTTGATAGGACCCTTGTTTTCCTGCAGTTCTTTAAGAGAACTTTTTTTACACATTTAACACCACATTGATGGATAATCACCCCTCCTCCTTGCTTATCTCAAACAACTCCACAAAGTAGATAAGTAGATGGGCAGAGTAACAAGCTCGCATACCTTACTACTTGGAGAAGAATCCTCTGAGCTGCGCTACATATAGTAACCGGAGGAAATGTCGATCATGTTTGGAATTCCCCAGGTCGTTGTGCTGAGCAGAGTCAAGCACCCACACATCGTGAAGCTGATCGGCGTGTGCCCGGAATCATGCGGCCTCGTCTACGAGTACCTCCCCAACGGCACACTCATGGATGGGCTCTCCAAGGGGCTTCCATGGAAGGACCGTATCAGGATCCTCGCCGAACAGCGTTCCGCGCTGGCGCACCTACACTCCAGCCGGCCCAACGCCATCATCCATGCGGACCTGAAGTTGACGAACATCCTCCTCGACGCCGGGAACGTGAGCCGGCTAGGAGACTTCGGGACGGCGCGCGTCGTGCAGATGAAGCCGCTGGAGGAGGACACCATCTGCCGGCGGACGAACCCGATGGGCACGATGGGGTACATGGACCCCGTCTTCTTCACGACAGGCGAGCTCACCGCGGAGTCGGACGTCTACGCGTTCGGCGTGGTGATCCTGCAGGTCCTCACAGGGCTGCTCGACCTCAACATCGTCGAGCAGGTGCAGGAAGCGATGAAGATGGACGCCGCACACGGCCTGCTGGACGCGTCTGCCGGCACCTGGCCAGAGGTGCAGGCGGAGCGGCTCATGCGGCTGGCGCTGAGGTGCTGCAACCTGGAGCGGAACCGGCGGCCAGCTGCCACCTCCGACGCCGAGTGGCGATCGCTGGACATCCTGCGGACCATGGCAACTGCAAGTAAATCCCGGAAATGGAGTCATGCAAACTGAAGAACCATGCCAGCGCATCGGCGAAATGCCAACAGAACATAATGGGTTTAGTCTGTGAATCTAAACTGCATTTGCGTTTAGTTTGTGATGCCATAGCATTTCTCTTGTGAATGTACTCCCTCCGTTCCATATTACTGTACTAAATCAGGGACGAGTAATATGAAACGGAGGGAGTACATTCTTAAACTAGTTAGAACATAATGTACGATAGGACAGAACAGTGCGCCCCTCCCATTGCAAACTTTTTTTACCATGTCAATGCGGTGGTAAACAATAGATAAAGCGCAGTCCAAACATCTCAGGATCCAATGACCGCATGAAGCAATGTCGAATGAGAGAGGGGGAGGGGGGGAGGGACGGGTTGGTTGGTTCAGGAATCGGCATTACCTGCCTGCCCGCCTCGCATTACGCCGCCGACGCCTCTCCGGGATCCATCGCCGCCGTCGACGCCATAGGAGAAAGGGGAACGCCGCCGCGCGTTCCGACAACCGGACAGACGCCATAGGAGAAAGGGGAACGCCGCCGCGCGTTCCGACAACCGGACAGCAGGTCTTGACTCTGAGATGGGCTTAGCCGCCGTGTGTATTATGGGCTTCTAGTAGCCGGGGATGATGTATCTGCCGCACCGGTGCTTGTGGTGCTATCGTAGCGCATTTACAAATTTTTTTATTTTAAAAAAGAAAAAATAGCACATTCACACAACTTCGGTCTATGTTGCCGTAAAATTTCAAATCAAAATTTAAAGTATTGCTTGAGGTACAAAAAGAAAAAATTTACACTGAATAGTACATACCATAAGTTGGCTTTAAATCTGGCCCATTATCACATTGATGTCAAAATTTTCATTTTTGCATCTCGTGCAATGTTTCGAATTTTGATATGCAATTTTCTGACAACATCCCTTGATGTTGAGTCAATCTGCTAGACTTTTTATTTTTTGAAACATTTTAAAATGCACTACGTGTCCGGTGCACCGGTGATACATTCCCTCTACTAGCCTTATGTGCTCAGCCCTAAAAATATAGCCTTAGGGCAAACTCCAACACGGGTCACCAAATGGGCATGGCCTGATCCAAAGAAATTGTGATGGAAAAACTACGAAGATCTGGAACCACCGAACCACAACAGTTGATTGCCTAGGGATGACAAAATGAGATCAATTGTTGCTATCGCTGAAAACCCCACCCAAGTTTGTTAGCGAATTAATTCTTCCGAACATGCCATCTTGGGAGAGAAGGTCACATGGCATTTCGTCGCTACGTATGTCGACTCGGTTCTCTTGATTCCTCTGTGCACAAGGAAAAATGGAAGGTTTTTGGTCATGGAACTTTGACAAGAATGGCTTGTTCTTAGTGCGCTCAGCTTGTCGTATGTTGTCTATACAAAGTTTCGGCATGAATCCTAGCAAGAAGAATGCTCGGGACTAACTCTGATCGTAATGAGAGAAGTTGGACTGAGATGTGTGACAGTGTTATGGCCCAGGTGTACCTCACAATATCGGCTGTCGGCTTGGCGCACCCCACCCTCCCCCTTACATGCTTTAAAGAATCCCGGTTATAGTAAAATTTACAAGTTTTTTTAAAAAAAAATTCAAAACATGTTTTGGAAATTTTCCTAGATTTAAAGAAAATGTTTGGACTTCCAAAAATGTCTGCGTTCTCAAAAAATGTTTGGGATTTTATAAAGAAATCTTCATGTGTTTAAAGAATGTTCCAACAAATTGAAATTCCTGGAACTAAAAATATGTTCACATTTTCAAAAAAAGTTCCTGTTTATGAAAAAATATTAGGAATTTTACAGAAAAATGAGAAAAGTGTTATTATTATTTATTTTATTTTTAAAATTTCGAAAAACACATGCGTTTTTCGAAAATGTCCTTATTTGAAAGATGATCATTTTTTGAAGATTCTTCCAAAAAATATAGAAAATGTTTAAAAAATAAAAAAATCATTCATTTGCTTTTAGAAATTTTTATTTTTTTCAAATAAATGTTTGCCCTGTTTATTGGGAAATAACTCTTGATAAAAGTCGCTAGTTTCACTCGCTATAGCGACCGCTACCTACGACTCTGCGACGCTGGAGTGGCAAAACTATGTATCTAGCGTCCTATAGGTGCTCCTCTAGGAACCTCAAATATGACGTGTGTTGCGTCAAACAGTCGGTGCTTCGCACAGGCGTGCCCCAGACTTAAGCGACCCATCGGCGATGAACTAAAGTGTGCCAGCGCACTGTAGTGAGTGTTTTCTTTTTCAGCTGGTTTTTTAAACAAAATATACAAACTTTCTAAAAACATGACCAATTTTTGAAAAAGTGATTATTGTTGGAAAAAAGTACAAGCATTATTTGAAAACAAATAAGAATTTTAAAAATGAACCTTTTTCCAAATATTTGTGAATAAAACTGGAAATAACATGCATAATTTTTGAATTTGTTTTATAAACTCAAACATTTTTATTAAACATGAACATTTTTTGAAATTCTTTTGGAATTTTTGAACTTCTCCCAATATTATGAACATTTTCATAAAAATTGGAACATTTTATGAAAGGTGAAAATTTCAAATATTTAGGTAAAAAGTTGGAAAGGGAAATGGAAACAAATAAAAAATAACACAAATCTAAAAATGCAAAAGGCAAACAACACAAAGAAAAATAAACCGAAAGCTTCTATAAGGTTGTCAAAACCGATAATAACCAGGGTCCGAACATCTTCTAAAAATATGGATTCAATTTTCTCTATGGTTCAACCTATAAATCGAATCACTTTTCTTTATGGTTCAGCTCAAAGAACACTTTCTAAAAATTGGTGACTAAATGGGCCAGCCCATAAATGGAATTGCAAGCTGGCTCCTACGCAAAATACCGACAATTAAATGCAACACACGTGAAATAGGAATTACCAGGAGGGCACAACACGGAGGGCACAAGTCGCTTTTGTTTTTAAAAAGTCACTTTTTTGGAGAAAAAAGGGAATATACAGGAAATACGAAAACATAAACGGAAAAAACCGAAACGAAAACGGAATTTGTTACACAGAAATGGATACAAAATTGGACTGCTGTTTTTCCGGGCAACAAACACGAAAGCGAAACTTTTCATTTACGTGAGTATGACATTTTCGTCTGTACTAAGAACTAATAGATACTTTGCAGTCCAACCATCAAACAACGCAAAATGATGGAGTGAGCGGAATGGCCTATGTGAGACTCAACTTCTTGTGCCATGCATGTACTCAACTAGACTCATGCATGTACTCAGCTAGACTCAGACAATTGTTCAACACTACTACAATAATATGCTAAGCCACTAACCTAATCATCTCATTTTATAGCCATGTTAAAAATTGATTAAATTTGTTGGGATGCTTGAGTTTTTCTCTATGGTTCAAAGAGTTTTCAAGTTTCGATCAATAGCCCATTTCGTTGTCATGTTCGCTCCATATTCATGCATCATGTTCGTTTCGGGTATTATCTGTTTCCGTATCCATTTTCAGGGCTTCTATATTTGTTTCCGCTTTCGCAAAAACACGGAAACAAATGTGGTAACACCGCGCTTTGTCCATTTTCATCCCTATTTATACGGGTCAAATACCCTTACATTGTGCTAGCTCTGCCCTGACACTGCATGCCATCGAGGAGGGAGGCCGCATGCCGCGCATGTCATAACACACACCACCATTCCTTCCACTCAAGGTATAAAACTTTCAATCATCTAAAAAATAGTGATTTCACTTCTTTTTTTTTAAACATGGTTCAATATTTCAAAGAACTATTTCATTTATTTCAAAAGAGGGTATTCATTTTTTCCGAATAATCGTTTCAAAAAACTATTACACTTGTGCACATAAGTGATTTCAATTATTTCATATACATCCTAATTAAATATTGTTTTAGAAATATCTCATATTTTGACAAAGTGATTAATTTATTTCACAAAAGAAATTTATTCCAAACATTCTTGCCTTATACATACATGTGCATTTGGATTTACCTTTTATGTATATATCCATGTTAAAATGGTTGGTTTGGTCGACTAGAGGGGGTTTGAATTGGTGACTAACAGTTTTTTTAACTTTGTTTGCAAATTTTAGGTTCAACAATAAAATATGTTGTCTAGATATGCAACTAGATGGACAACCTATATGACACACACAACAAGAAGAACATAAAGAGTTTTCACAAAGTAAAGATAAGAAGTAACCGCAAGTGAAGACGGGGATGTCTTTTCCCTCCTTCGTGGGAGGTTTATCTCTGTTGGAGGGGTGTGGAAGTACGATGCTCCCCAAATAGCCACTATGGCTCATCCTATTCTCGTCACGCCCTTGCACGATGCAAGTTGCCATGAATCCACTAGCGATGCTCTTGAAGGTGGCAACTGGGACCTTTAAAAAGAAAGTTGGGTCTTTCTCCACAACTCAATTGGAGGATCCCACCACCACCACAATGGAATGTGGCTTCGCGGTGACCTCTTTTAGTCTAGGGTGCCCAAGCACCAAAGAGTAAGTTGATGAAGATTAACGAGTCTTGGGAACACGAATCAGTTTTGGTGCGACTGTAGATCGGGTGAATCTCCTCCAATCCCCAAAGTATTGGGGAGTTTGGGTGGACGAGGATGGAGATCTCAAGCTTTTTGTTTTTGGCAATGGTGCGGAAAGATTTTTGAGAAGAGTTTAGGTCAGGAGTAGAAGAAGGGGTATATATATCCCTCGGGGGAGAAATAACCGTTGCACAGCCACAACTCCGGGCACCCGGACCATTCAGAGGGTGGCAGCCTGCCCCGGGCACCCGGGGGACAAAGTCACGGGGCACTTGGACAGAACAATTGCCAAGCATGCATGGGGCGGTCACTCGGAGGTCCAAGACCCCGGGTACCTGAACCATCGAGAGAGAACATGCTCAACTCGAGGCACCCAGACGTGACCGAGGCCATTGCCCATTCTCTGGTGCCTCCGGCCACCCAGACCAAAAATAGTCCGGACACCCTGACCTTTGGAGGGGGTCA